CAGATATCTTCCACTGGCGGGGCACCACTTCTTCCGTGATATGCTCTAAGATCCCGACTGGCATTCCGACATGTTTGGTAGTGAAGTTCATGTAAGTGTGTGTATAAGTAAGGGGTGTGACTAGGACAAGCAAGACGAAGGAAGGACCTTTCAAGGACCGTTTGCTAGGGTACTACTCCGAGATTCGCCTATTATTGATACTAGAAATAATAAAAACTACCAATCAGAGAATTCGGTTGCTAGAATTCTTCTCCAGACAGCGGCTGAGTTGGCCTTACTATGAAGCCTGTAAGGAAAATCCCTACATAACTATCGAATGCAAAAGATGGGGAATAATATGTATCTATTTTATTTTCATTATTAGTATTATAAATATCCTTTACAGGGGAAAACAATTTATTATTTGTATTACCTCCTTGTTCATTATTTTTTAATAAATTTGCATTCTACATTAGTAGACTGATGGCGACGGCAAAGTCATCGAAAGCCGACCCTCTGAATAAATCTATGTTGACAAAGAAGACTTCAATTATTTCATCCCTTAATAAAGTTAACCACATCTAATCAGCATTTTGTAGTTCCTTGAAACGTGTTTGTGTTTGGTTCCAGGCGCCGTCGCTAGAAGAGCTGCTGTCGGCCGTGGACCTGCATGGTCCTCTCTCTCTGTTTCTCACTATGGGCATGCCCGTTATGAAGGCGGAACATGGCGTCGATATGGAAGCCATTATGAGCGGGGACGTCTCTGCCATGGTGCCTTTATTCGATCTGCCAGACGTCAAGAAGTGGATTCAACGCGTTCTACCGGTCTACTTGCGTAGGGGTTGGCTACGTGCCTGATCCTCCAGCGCTTAAGTGTACATAGAGCGTTTCGCATTTAACCCAGACGACTCACGTTAACTGCTATTAATGACGTTTTCGAATAACCTCCCCGTTTGCGAGGTCACAGCAGTATCTATATTCCCCCAACTGGGGTTCCATTATTAAAAGAACGGGATGCAATCATGATCTGATGCAGAAAACAGTAACCACGCACCATCTTATTTCCCTTCGACACCCTAACAATGCAAAACAAACGAAGCATCGCTTAAAAAGCTCAACTAACGCGCGTGTGTACTACAGAGGTCGTAATTAATGTTTTCGGCGTCATGTGACAAAAGCCGGATCCGCTTACCTTTAAGTGTCGATGTGTAAAACTCTCTTTCAGTAATTTCAGAAGACTTCGATTTGAAGTTTTGTTCAATAATACACATAATTATTGTTATTATTATTATTATTATTATTATTGTTATTATATTTTGTACTATTTTTGTACTGAATAAACAATATAATAAGATACTTGAATATTTATGTTAATTTTTTGTTTTTATTTTATGTCACATTGTGACATAAACAAGGATTTTTTTTATTTATAACAAAAAATTTACAATCTATTTTTTACAAAATAATAAGTAAATACGATGTTG